GAAATATGGCGACTAATCATTTCGACACTTTAGGTCATCGGTCTGAGATGCGCTCGAAATGTAGAGCATGTCGAAATGACGACTAAGCGTTTCGACATAATTAAGGCGTTTTGAGATACATACGAAGACCAGGACATGTCGAAATGATTAAAGGAAAATAGGATGCTGACTCTTTAGCTTTTCGGCTATAAAGCCTGGCCATCAGGGCCCATACGACAGTTCGGATTCTCGACTCTTAACCCGCGAACTCTGTCCGGGTCCTCATCGGTTTCAAAGCATCATTCAGCTGATTTCCTGAATCACAAGATTCTTAAACGGCTTACCCGAGGGACGAACGCATTGCCTAGAGACTGCTGGGAACTCGAGAAGTTACGTATAGAAATAAATACATAGTATCGCGAAGTGACTAGTGTCATCATAAAGGCCACTGACACGCGAACCGTTGATTAGGCTGAACTAAGCAGCAACTGGTATGTAACCGAGTATAATATTAAAGAATATAAACTGTTAAAGAAATATCGTGTCAATCCTTCTATATCCAATACCTATTCCCTTAAGATAGATAGTAGATTAAAGAGTCTATCGACAATGCTGAAGATTTTCGATAAAAAGCTGAAAAAAAAATGCGGATGAAAGTTTCTAGCTTCTAGTACATAGTCTGCGAGATCAAAAACGATATTTTCAGATTAAATGTGATGATACGATATTTTAATTACTTATCGATCACGGTTATAGGACAAGTCTATGTTTTATATGTGTACAGTCAGCGAGTATCGAAATATGGCGACTAATCATTTCGACACTTTAGGTCATCGGTCTGAGATGCGCTCGAAATGTAGAGCATGTCGAAATGACGACTAAGCGTTTCGACATAATTAAGGCGTTTTGAGATACATACGAAGACCAGGACATGTCGAAATGATTAAAGGAAAATAGGATGCTGACTCTTTAGCTTTTCGGCTATAAAGCCTGGCCATCAGGGCCCATACGACAGTTCGGATTCTCGACTCTTAACCCGCGAACTCTGTCCGGGTCCTCATCGGTTTCAAAGCATCATTCAGCTGATTTCCTGAATCACAAGATTCTTAAACGGCTTACCCGAGGGACGAACGCATTGCCTAGAGACTGCTGGGAACTCGAGAAGTTACGTATAGAAATAAATACATAGTATCGCGAAGTGACTAGTGTCATCATAAAGGCCACTGACACGCGAACCGTTGATTAGGCTGAACTAAGCAGCAACTGGTATGTAACCGAGTATAATATTAAAGAATATAAACTGTTAAAGAAATATCGTGTCAATCCTTCTATATCCAATACCTATTCCCTTA